AGAAAGAAGTCTTTAAAGTAAAGTAAAATAATATTATATATATATATATATATATATATATACATACATAAAAACAAAGTAAAATAAACACCCTATTCTGCAGAAGAAGAAAAAAATCTCAAAAAGCAAAACTCAGCAAAAAAATAAAAATCATTAAGCAATAATAAAAAAAATTTAAAAATCAATGCAATATACAAATACATATACAAAAAAAAAACCTCCTCTGGGAAAAAACCCCAAAGAAAAACTAAATAATGATAAAAAGTCTCATCGAAAAAAAGAAAGAAAAAACCATTGCACAAAAAGAAAAATCAGTACAATGCAGAACATTATTAGTGCTATTTAATTCACTGTAAACCACGGCTTCTTGGGGCTTATTGCTTTAATATATACAATGTATATATTATTTATTTATATATTAAATTAAAACAAACAAAAAAAACTAATTCAAAATAACAAAAGCTATAACAGTGTAACAACAGAAACACTGAAGTCTGTGTCGTGGAAAGCAGCCTGTGTGAAGTTTGTCGAGCTCACCGTCTTTCTTATCCAGCACCAGCTGCTCCATCTCTTTCCTCAGATCCTCCTGGTTTATATCGCAGGCGTCGAACGCGTCGCTCACGAACTCAGACACGCCGGGGCTGGTGGAGATGTCTTCCTCTTCCTGCTAACACAGCCAACAGAGGCGCTTCATCACTGAAAGCTGTGATGAGAACGCAGATCTGAGGAGAAAACACTACCTCGCTAGCCTTGGTTTTAGCGCTGATGGCCACAGGCGGTGTTTTCGGTCGGATGGTGTCTGTGAAGCAGCAAAATACAGGTTCACTTCTTTTTCCAAGAGTTTAAAACAATGACTTTTACTACGGAGCGTCAACATCTATCCACAGCCTTATCAATGGACATCAAACGATTCATGATTAGGAGTAAATATTGGGAAGATTTCAAATAAAGTGCTAACATCTTGTTTGCTGATTTGTTATAATGTATCAGTGTTATTATAATATCACTGAGATTCTTTTATAGTCTTTATTGATATATTTAATTAGTTGGTATCTTTATATTTTTCACTTTCATTGACACTTTTAGTAATTTTTGTGTGTTTTTGTCATTTTGAGTAGCTTTTTAAAAAAAAATTATTTAATTAAAAAAAAGTAATTTTAAATTTTTTTTTGTTTTTTTTTTGTGTATTTAGTCAAGTTATTTTTTAAAGTTAAGTCCTTTTGTTGCAGGGTTATTATTGTTAAGCAAAACCAAACCATTAAAAAACATTATCGTGACTTTATTTTATTTGTTGCCTAGGCAATAGTTCTCATTATCATTTAGTATTAAGTAAAATAATAATAATAATAAATAATTTATTGTCATTGCTGTAATAACTAAAATAACTAAAGCTAAATAAACTACAATGTAATAAAAAACAAACATGTATAAATTAAAAAAACTATTAAAAATGACAAAAACCCACACAACAAAATGACAAACTTTAACTAAAATAAAATGAAAACAGAAAATATTTAAATAAAATGTACAATATTAACAGCAATAATAATAGTATATCGATGCTACTAAAACAACACTGTTATGTTGTAGTTTTGTCATTTTTATGTTTTAGTACATTAAGTTACACTAAATGAAAATGAGAGTACTTACCTAAAGTAAGTTTAAGTTTTTTATATTTTATTTTATTTCAGTTAACATTTATAGTATTTAAAGTAACACTTTTTTACGGATTTAGTTTTAGTTAACGATAATAACCCTGTATTGTATTATGTTTTTATTGGAATTATATCAGCCATTTCTCTAAGCATACACTCTAATGCAGTCCGAACTCTTTCTTTAATAAGTATTTAAAGCCTGGTGAACCTGAGATGTTCTCGTTCTGCGGCGTCGCTGCGCTCTTCTGCTCCATCCTGTTGAGCAGTTCGTCTTCCTGCAGCATCACCAGAGCCACGGCGTACATCTGCTCAAAGTCGAACTGGAACTGAACTCCGGCTGGAGGGTCGCGCAGGAAGTTCCTCTTGTCCTGAACGACAGACACACACACACTCAGACACACACAGGTTTGTTTTTTGTGAATTGTGGGGACTCTCCATAGGCGTAATGGTTTGTCTACTGTACAGACCGTATATTCTATTGCCCTACACCAACCCTACCCCTAAACCTACCCC